TTGAGGAGTTATGTAAGCAGTTGTTCTGGAGGCAATAAGCAGCCCTAAGCACAGGCTCTGCAGGTCATTTTAGCAGAACTTGCTGTGTGTATCCCATTCACAGCTTTGCCAGTGGTCCCTTGAATGTTGCCGCATGTGTAGCCACAGCAGGAAGCCGTTCTGTCTGTGACCATGCTGTGCTCGTGTGGTTTGGATGGCAGGTGTAGAAGGCAGCCTTGGGCCGGAGTTACTCTGTAACATGGCTGTCCTGGCTAAAAAGGTTGAGCATCTCTACCACAAGCCAGTAAGGAAGCTGGACTCCCATCTCTTCACCAGGCTCTTCTGAAAGGGCTTGTCCAGCTGCATATGCCAGGTGATGAGGTTTGTTGGATCAGTAGAAGAATAGTGTCAAGCTAGTGAATAGAGCTGGGAAAATCAGCCTGGGATCCTTACCCCAGCCACTGAACAGTACCCCCTGAAATGAGCTAAGGATGGGAGGTGATTCTGTTGTACAGTGCACTGCATCCATTTCCTGTGGCTCATTCTGAGTGCGCTGCAGATCAGTGGGGAGGCTTGCTTCAAAGAGCAGCCTCTCTTTTAAGCTCTGGATGGTGGTGCAGCAGCTTCCTTGGGAGAGTGTTAAATCATTTCTTTGCTACAGGGGTAATGTGAAAGTAATACTAAACAGACTCTGCAGTAGCACCATATGGATTGCTTTTGCCCTTGAATGGAAATGGGACTCTGTTTTTAATCAAGTATGATTCAACATCAGCCTGAGTAAATAGCAGGATGTGTTAGTGCATTGTGAAAATTTTATACATGCAGCTTTTAAATGGGCTTTTAGCAAGTTGGTATTAATCTGCTGGAGCTCTGAGGTTTCCAGAAGGCTATGCAGGAAAAGGCACCCTTTTTAAAAAGGGCTAGGGAACAATCTCTCATTTTTCTTTTCCTAGCGCTGCTCTCAGTTCCTTCTTGGTCTTCACTGGCTGTTAACATAGGCAGACATTTCCCAGGCACTTGTTTCTGAATGAAGAGGAAAGCCTACTTAGACCCCGAATAACCTGTGGTATCTGAGTTGAGGAGCATTTTTGAAATGGCAGCATAGTTGCATGCTGTGGGGAAAAAAAAGCTGGTTTGTTCAACTGAAGACAGCAAAGGGTCTGAACAGAAATAAGTGATTTGCTCAGCAGGGCTTTGCTAACAGGCGGTGGTGGAGCAGAGTGGCAGAGCTGCAGGAGACCTGTGGAGGGCCCAGGCAGGGCCATGTGCTGCTCACACAGAGAGGAGCCAGCAGGCCTAGGAGCAGAGATCCTCACCCGAATCTGCCCCTTTCTCCAGCCCCATCCACTGCAGTGCCCTGCCTGATCATTGCTTTTCAGTGCAGCACTAACCCACACAGCGCAAGTTGCAGTTGCAATGCTCCCAGACCCACAGCTCCCTGAGAGGCAAGGGTACAGTTGAGTGGTGAGAGCTCCCTGGGGACAACGTGCTTGTTATTGCAGTGATGACACTTGTAGGATTGGCTTCCTGCAAGATTTTTTTTGTTGTTTGTCAAGTCATTTGGCTCTGATGTTCAGAGGCAATGAAAGCCTGTGCTTTGCTTTAACACCCTTCCCACAACGCCCACTGGCTTTCCATGGCGATGATGTTCAGTGTGTACCAAAACATTGTCCTAACTGGGCATGTTTTGTAAGCTGGAAGTACAAATTCATCCCCTGGAGAGTCAGCACCCGGACTGTTGTGAAGGCTTGGAGTGACCTGGATGGCAGAAGACAACCAGGATTTCACCAAGTCCAATTTTGGATGTGCCTGGCCAGGCTTTCAGACACAGGTTGTGATGGAAAATGCAGTGCGTGCACCCTTACTTTTCATGCCTGCTCTATTCATGGGGCAGCTGTGAGGTTCAGCAAACAGCTATTTCTAATGCATTTTGGGAACTATGCCTCTGAAATGTTCTACAAATTCATGGGATTGTTTGTTATTCAGATGCAGATTGGCCTGAAATACCATTACCTTTCCACAAAACTGAAGCATGTCTCTAATAAAACCAAATTTAATGGAGCTCTCCAGAATCAGACTTTCTCCTAAGGGCTCTGTGATATCTTACATTGTTTCATTTTCATTATGAATTGGTGTTGATTTATTTTTTTTAATTAGTCCTGTCAAGAAGGAAAGTGCAGAGCATCTTGGAGCACAGAGGAGTTGTTGTGGTGAGCTGCTGACCTCTACTCTTAAGAGCAAAGTCGTTTCCAGATAACAGCAATGAGGGAAACTGTTTCATCAGTTTGTTGAAGCAGCTTCAGTTAAGCCATCTGCTTTGGCCAGCTCTGCTTCAGTTTTAACCCTGGGAAGGATACAGACACATCCATATACGTGGAAATTGCTGTGTTTTGTGTGTTTCTTGCTCTCAGACACTTCAGAGTGATGAAATGTGTGAGTTAATTTGTGCTGATGGCTGCTTTTTACTCCCTTTTGACTGACTTTGGCTGTCACCTGCTTAGAGGTGGCTCCATGAGTTGTGTGTTCCTTGTGCTGTTGTCCCTTCTGTACAGTCATTAGCAATCTGGAGGGTATTGCTAGTGGTTGGCTTTTATTTCTGAGATGCTTAGCTCTCCCTTTAGAGTTCTACAAGGATAACACCATCTTTTCCTCCGTGTATTCTACTGGAAATGCAGATCACACTGGTTTAATACATACTTGTCCTCCAAGACAGCCCTGTCCCCAGCCTCCTTTTGTGTTGCACTGCAGTGGTGCCTATGTCACTGCTGGAGCACCCCACTGCATAGCTGGCCAGCCTCCAGCCAGCCCTGCTGTAAAGCACTAAGCACTTTAAGTACTGCATTTCTTCAGAACAGAAAACTGATTTCAGGTTGCCTTCATCAGTTTAGTAGCTCTACACCAGATCATTTATTGGCAGGCATGAACTAAAGCTCTTTGTGTTTGTAGCTGTGATGGAGCCTCAGTCGTTTGCACCAGCTGGTGCTTGGTGCATGATTTCTGTCCCATGTCCTCCTCTCTTTATGGCTATTGCCTTTCCACAAGGCAGCTAGACAGAAGACATGCTCTAAGGATAAGTTTTTCAAGCCAACTTGTGCAGAACTTTCATTGCTGTCACCTACACTGCACTGCAAAGCAGCATGGTGTGTGGGTTGGGCACTGCTCCCAGCACCACCATTCCTGACCTGGCCAGCCACATCCCCTCTGTGCTTATTTCCTTCACATCTCAGTTTACTGCTATTTAAATTGTTTGCCAGGTTTGCCCCTGGCTGACGTTGCATTGCAATGCCCTGGGACATGTCATTCTCACTTTTGAAAGCACAGCCTGTGCTTTGCTGCCCCAAAGGCACTTGTGCTGATTTTCTCCTCTGAGCGGTCTAGGTCATAGACTATCACTGTTCTTAATGCTCATGTCAAGAATGGATGTTCTGGTCTGTGAGGCACAAATGTTCATTGACTCCAGTGTTGGACTACTTTTTGCAAAGGATGTTTTCTTCTTCTTTGTTCATATTGCTGCAGTGCTCAGACACACTGAGCACCAGGCTGATGTGGGCACTGAACAGAGCAATTGGCAAACAGACCTTCTACTTTCATTCAATTGCTCAAAGGCAGGGAATGTGTTTTATGAGATAAATAGTATGGGGAAAAAATAGTGAAGAGCCCAGAGTACCTGCTTCCCTAGTGCAGACCCCTCTGTTCTCAGGCTTAGCTCTGGGGATGGTCTACACGTTTTTGTAGCCTGTATTTTTGTAGAGGTTTGGGGAATCTCAGCTCTGTAGGATCAGGCATATTGCTCAGCAGCCTGCACCCAGTCATGTGCGTGAAGGGCATCTAATCATTTCCTGAAGGGAAACATCACTTCCCCTCTCCCCATTTTCCTTTTTTGCTCTACCTCCATTACCATAATGAAATGTCAGCTTGCCACCAGCTTTGCTGCATAGCAGATGTCTCCTCATAATTACTGTTGTCGCAGAGCTTTCAGTGTTAATCTGACTGTCTAGCCAGGCTGTTAAAGCATTAACTGGCTCACATCGCAGCATGGCCACAATGTTGTTGCACATCTGGAAGAGGATGTAACCACCAGTGTTTTTAACTAATGCTCTCCATCAGGCTTTTGTCTGTTGTGTCTCCAGATCAGCTCTTAGGGGAATGGAGCGTCACTTTACCTGTGGGTGTGTGTGCTGCTAATGAGTCAGCTGCCCACAGCGCGCTGCTTAACACAACGCCTCTGAAAGCTCTCCCACCCAGCCTCAGTGTGCTGCCCAGATGAGTTACATGGAAGTGATCCTAGATCTCTGCATGTGTTTGAGGCTCTCTTTCATGTGCCAAGGACAACATCAATCAGCATTGCTTTAACCTAAGGAGAGGTCCTTGCAGAAAAAATATCTGCAAATGTGATTTCCCTTCCTCAGGCAAGGCCTGCTGGAAAGCTTTCTTGGGAAGAGCAGAATGGTTACGTGGAGGTTGTTCATTCTTGCTCCTAAAACACAAGCTGATTTGCTCTGTAGGGCAGGTTGCTTCTGTGGCAATGCGCTAAACAGGTTTGTAAACCAGGAAAGGATAAGATCAGTATTTTCCTCTCCCAATTGCGTGTTTCCTATGAGATGCCAAAAGCAAATGTGAAAATGATAATTGAGGCTGGGGGAGCAGTGGGGTGCAGGGGTCCTGGGAAAGGCAGGAAGAACTGGAGCATTTCCACTTCTGTTCAATACAGTCTGCTGGATTTTCTACAGCTCTGCTTTTGGGGACATTTCATGTTCTGAAAGCTGTTCTTTGATTTAAATTTTTTCTCTGCGTTCCTAGGAGTCATTTTTCTACAGCTCCCTGCTGCTTCTTTCCTGAGCATCCAAAAAAATTGCTTTATTGCAGCTGCAACATTACTTCGTAGATAGCTTGTAATGAAAGATTCCTGCTTTCAGAGCAGGATGTGTGAGTCTGCACCTCTATTTGCATCTTTGCAGAAAGGTTTTTGTTTGGGTGGATCAACTACCATGGCAAACCATATTCTTGTCTTCTTTTCTTAGTGCACTACCAGAAGATCATTCACCGGGATATCAAGCCTTCCAATTTGCTCTTAGGAGATGATGGACATGTTAAAATTGCTGATTTTGGAGTCAGTAATCAGTTTGAAGGGAACGATGCCCAGCTTTCCAGCACAGCAGGAACACCAGCCTTCATGGCACCAGAGGCCATTTCAGACACGGGCAAAAGTTTCAGTGGAAAGGTAGGTCGTGGCTCACGGCCAGTGTGTGCTGGGATCTCACAGGCACTGCACAAAGGGTAGCACCACACTTACATCCTTTGCATTTTGCTCTCTGGCATTATGGTGTAGATTGGCATGGTGGATTGTTTTCAATTAAAATCAAAGCTCTAATTTTGTGTTCAGGCAAAACTCACGTTGGTTGTTCTGTACAGCAGGTAGATGGACTTTTTGTCAAGCCCCTGCCAAGACAAGGAGGCAGGTTAGAGTCCAACAGGGCCCTTTTCCTGCTTGGCAAGGAAGGACAAAAATCCCCATTTCCTTCCAAAGTAATCATGATTCACAGAAGGTTGCTGGGCACCAAAGTCATATCTTGTTACCCTGAAAGTGAGGAATGTGGATGAATATTGTAATGCAGGTGTTAGAATAGGGTCTAGCTGTTGCTTTTAGTCTTTTTTTTTTCTTTTTCTTTCAAACTTGGAAGAAGACTTGAAGTTCAGCTGTTCCTTGAGGTTCAGCCTGGAGCTGTCATCTTCTATAGGAAGAAAGGACTGCTCACTGGTCAGTGCCCTTCACAGCAAAGACAAATGTGGTGATGTCTGAGCCAGCACAGTTCTCTTTCCCCACGAAGGCCATAAATGCCTTTGGGAGCCCAACTTCAGAGACACTCTGTGCAATAAAATTAAATGTAAAATGTTAAATGTGTGCAAGTAGTTCTGTGAGTCAGTGGGAAAATCCAGCTCATTTCTATCCTCTGTGTTGCATCTAATTTACTGCCTGCACTTGCTTTCTTTCAGGCACTTGATGTATGGGCCATGGGAATTACCCTGTACTGCTTTGTTTATGGGAAGGTAAGCTGGCTTTCAGATGCTGGAGCCCTGTATGAGAGTGTCTGCCTGCCTGTCTTTTCGCTCATTCCTTTCCAAATAAAGGCAAATGTTAGAAGCAGAGGTCTACTTTCCACACACTTCTGTTTTCCCAAATCACCCTGCAGATGAGAAGGGACTTCAAGAGCTGACCCCTGTACTCAGAATGGAAAAACAGGTGTTTGAATAATAATACCTGACTCTAAATTATGCTTGCCACACAGGTCTTCAAGCAGTGAAGCAGGTCAGTCAGTATCAGTATTTCTGTGCTACAGATAGAAAAATGTAGCAGAGAAAAGGAAAATGGTTGCATAGGAGGCTGGATAGAGAGGGCTGTCCCAGTCACGTTCTGTATTTGTTTGGTCCCTCTGCTTTTCTTCTTTATATATTTACTTATTTTAAAGAAATGGCTTTATTTCATGGAGGAGATTTTACTTCCATTTCCACATCAAATCCAGACAGTGCACACAGGAAGTTCATTTCTAATGAATGAATGGCAAACACCAAAGCGGTGCCAAGATCTTTGACAACTGGGAAATCTTTGTTTGTTTTACAGTGTCCTTTTATAGATGAATATATTCTGGGTCTTCATAACAAGATCAAGAGCAAGCCTGTGGAGTTCCCAGAAGAGTAAGTAAACTTTACTCAGCTACTGTAAAGTAAAGATCAGTCTTTGGCATTGCTTGCTGTGCAGTATAAGTGCTGGTGGATCACCATTGAGGGATGGACAGAAGCAGGTGAGGTTCTTTGCATTCTCCTGGGTCCTTCATATGAGTGTTGTGCCAGCATTGCTGTAAAAGCATTGCAGCTGCCTTTGCTGCTTATGTTTGTATGTTGCAGATGAAAACTAAAGAGAATTGCTCTTGAGACTTTCAGTGGAAATAGGGGGATTGAATTATGGGCCCACTGAGTTCTGCCTCAGCTTACTTGAGTGAAGATGCTGGAAGCTGGGATTCATTGAAGTTTTGTACTTCTGCTATCTGGCTAATAGCTGGAAAGATTCAGTATGTTGGCTTTCTATAGTAGTTTGTTAATTATGATAATACTCAGACCTTGGACTTGGTCTGAGTAAACACCCACAGCTTACACAGATCTACCTTGGAGCTGGGAAATGTCTCCTGAAGGGTACTTGTCCCACAACCTGCAGAGTCCCAAACCTGCCTTATCCAATGCAGTCTAAGAAAATGTGGATTTGTCTTGTGTGCTGGCAAACTTGGGCTTATATGCCACTCTTTTGGAGTTTCTCTTCTTGTTCCTAGTTACAAAAAGCATGATTTTTTTAGAAATAAAATTACTTGATTCAAAACAAGGGTGAGGAAATTAAAAATCTAATGTAAAGTACATCTGTTATTACAGAGGAAGGGAGAGATATTGCCAGACAACCCCAGATAATGTACAAATATCCACTGTTACATTATCTGTGACACACTCACTGAATTTTTAGACGTTCACAGTGAGGGGCTGGGCCACTGCTTCAGCAATCCCAGGCTTCCTTTTGAGTCTGCAAAGAGAAATGGGTACTTAGAATGTCCTATTTTAGACATCTGCTTTAGATAGGATGACTCACAACCCAGACTCCACTGGCTATATTAATTACCTCTCCACTGACTGTGAAGCACAGCCGCTGCAGATAGCTCAGATGAAGCAATCTCTACTTGGGCTGATGGAGCCACACTGAGGACTGTGTGGGGCACGTCTCTGCTCCTAAAGACCTAAGCACTTGTTTGGTGTCAAACACAGGCCCCAGTGGCCCTGGTCACTGGTTTGGGTTAGTTCTGATGGTTGGTGAGATTTGGCACATAACAGGGCGTCAGGCACTGAGAGCACAAAGGCTGGCCGTTCACGCTACATTGCTGTGTTTCCACCTATTGTTCTGTAGGAGATGCAGGACTTGGTCTGTAACAGCACTGCAGCAACAAATAAAAATAAATAGTTTGTTTCTCTCTAGTCTCTTTTCTAGTCTCTCTGCTTGCTTAGGTTCTGGCAGAATGCCTGTCCTCTCAGCCATCATATATTTGGGTTAGCAGTCAGCTTACAAGTGACTGTTCCCATCTGTCTCTGCAGTAAGTTATTAACATTTAACGGGCTAACTGGGTTGTGCTAAGAACATTTTCTTCATTCAGACATTTCCTCCAGCAGTAATGCAGCTCTGCAGTTTATTTGGACTTCTCAGTCACCTGGTCTCTCCATCTAAGAAAAAGCTGTACCCCTCAGTAGGCTGTTGGATAAGTAGAGCTGCTGGGTGTTGACATCTGTCTAAACCGCATCTATCCATGAGATGAAATCAGTAACAAAGACGTACGTAAAGCTGGAATTCACTGGGCTGAGTCCACACTGACCTCCCACGGAATTAGCACCTCGTTACAGTTAGGAATATTTTGGTTTCAATTTATTTCACCATGGCTACAAAAGACGCATTCCTTTGTGCAGACATGGAAATTCATTGCCTGTTCCCTGACAACCTTTGATGAAGTGGACTGTACCCATGCCGTCCCTTCCCTTCCCTTAGAGATGCTAGGGTAAATATTTATCACTCCAGCGTTCTCGTTCATGTCGTTCAGTCCTTGGCGTGACATGAGATGAACGAGGTTAGCTGCAGCTTGCACCCTGGTGATCCTGACGTGGCTAAAAAGCACACTGGAGGAGTTTCTGGTCAGGCACATGCTAAGAGAGCCAGAAGCTCTGCGCAGCTCTTCCTGGTAAAGAGCTGAATTTCAGGACGATATCCCCTGGCCTTGCTGCCTGCAGGCGCCCTGTAAAGCGATGTATGGGATGGACAAATCCCTCAGCATCAAATGAGTGCTGAACTCTGTGATGCTTGGTGTTTTCCTGAAAGCTGTTACAATGCTGTGACTATGAGAAATTGCAGATTGCACAGACTTTTCAAATGAAAAATGACATGGGCTACAAGATGAACCCTGGCAGAATAGAGAGAAGGGAAAACAGAGGCAGGGTAAGGCAGTCAGTTACCTAGTTATAACCCACTAGGAGCTTTGCAGTCTTATTTGCAGGGCTTTTCCTTATAGAATTCATCCTGTTGTGTAGAAATTAGTGTGGTGCCAGAAATGTTAGGTGGTTATTTAATCTATATCTTGTATTTTAAGTTAACATGTTGCTAGTTTGGCACAGATCTGATGTTAAATATTTTACAAACACCACTGCACTTCTGTCTCAGAGTGGTCCTCCTTCAGGAGTCTGTTTATTTTGACCTGCTGAATGCTCTTTCACTCTCCATAGCTGCTCCTTTGTGTCTGGACCTCATCTTAAGAACAGCACAGTTCTTCCCATTCCCACCTAAAACATCACCTGGAATGCAGCCTTGGATGTGGGAAGTCTCTGAGAACTCCTCCTGCCATTCCCCATGTCTGGGCTGTATTGCCTGTTCACTGTAGATACTTGATGTTCGCTCTAAATTGCGCTCACCTTCTGTCCCTTCCCACTGTGTTTTCTTGTGGTTGTTTGTGAAAGATCCCATAACCCAAATGCACGTAAAGTACTCATAAATTATTGAACAGCAGCTATGATTTCATCAGACTAAAACATCCCTTATTATGATTTGATCTTCATGCAGTTTTATGATAGTTCATTCCTTCCTCTTCTTGGGGAGGGTGCAGAGGAGGTGGGCACAGTACCTGGTTCTCATCAGTGTTTTGAATCTGATGTTAGCACTGAGATCCAGCCCTGCCGGCAAGTGACGTTTTATGTTGCCAAATCCATCTCCATGCACATGTACACTTCACTGAAAGGCATTTGTGATACAGGTTTTCAAGAACCCAATGCAGTTGTGTCATATGAGGCATTTTATTTCAGTAGCACTTTCTGATCGTACAGATCAAGTGTGTTTTTAAAGATATGGCTTACATCATTAGCAACAGAAGTCATTGAAGTCTTCAGACTAGAGATGGGAGGGCCAGCAGGACCGAGGGCTTAATGAGAACAGAGTGGCTTCTGGGTTCAGGCAGTCTTATCATTTAGTGTTAGAAACAGTGCTGAGAAGTCAGATATATTTCCATCTCTTAGTCACATCTGTTCCTTTCCTCCTTTCAGTATCCTGGGACTGAGCTGTACAGGTAAGAAATGCACAGCTGTGTTAGTTGGCAGAAGAGTGTAACTACATATCTTAGCAGTGGCCATCATGTCTGAGAAGGAACCAAGAAAACTAAATCTTCCTTTTTCTAGCTGGTTTGCAGAGAAAATACCTTTTGAGCAGCTTTTCTAACAAGTAACTGCAGGAGGGACTGTGCGTGCCTTGGGCACTGGCAGTTCTCTTGTTAACTGTATGCTGCTGTTTTCTTTACTCAGATTACAGATAAGTGACGAGCTCAAGGAGCTGATCTTACGCATGCTTGATAAAAATCCAGAAACAAGGATAACAGTCCCTGAAATTAAGGTAAATTGAGCATTGATACTGCAGTCTTTTGTCTCAACTGATTTTTTGATACCTCCTAATGGGGCAGAGCTGTTCCCAATATTTGTTTTGTGAGCTTTTTCTGGCAAACTGACACAGAAAGGGAGAGTGCTCATTTTGCAGTGTTGTATTGCTGCTGCTTGGGGAATATTGACAAAAGCTCTCTTGTTTACTTATTTAAATTAAAATTACTCAAAATCTGGCTGATTCAGTGAATCCCCAGTAGAATCAACATTGTCGTGGGAACTGTGAGCTGCAGAGGCCATACTGTGAATGCTAGACCTGTGTTACAGGGGCTGGCAATGCCTTCCTTGTCTAGTACTTGTGTGGTGATGGTCTCAAGGCATCACATTTGCTTCTATCAGTATTACTTGGGAGATGCCTATTAACACAGAGAACAAATAGTCCTGACAGAGCACAGTGCTTTGCAGAGTTTGCTTTCATTCTGTTTTAGCACGTGCTTTCTGTCCTCCTTTCACCTCTCGCTGAAGCCTTGAATCAGCAGTATTTCTCAGGGCCCCATTAGCATCCCTTAGAGGGCACACTACTATTCTCTGCTTTGTTTCAGGCCAACACCAACACATTTTCTGTTAAAGCTGATGATAGGAAGGTTGAACTTTGAGAAGAAAGGTGACATCCCTTCCCTCCATGCCCAGGAAGCCACAGCCAATGATAGTGGGAAGTGCTTTGGAGTTGCATTCATTGATTTTGAGTGGCAGACTTTGAGCAGTCTGTGTTCCTCCCCATGTAGGTACATCCATGGCTAACCAAGGGTGGTGAGGAGCCTCTGCCACTGGAAGAGGAGCACTGTACTGTGGTGGAGGTCACAGAGGAGGAAGTGAAGAACTCAGTGAAGACCATCCCAAGTTTGCCTGCTGTGGTATGTATAAACCAGAGCAGTTCATTTGAATGAGCCAAGAGCATGACACTTTGAAGCTCTCAACTGGTAAAGGAGGTTTAGAGGGTACATGTGTGCTCCTGGCCCAGGAGAGCTCTGGGGCTGCCTTCTTACTTATGAGCAATAGGCAGCAGTCAGCTGCACAAAGATGTGCTTTGACTCTTGCCAGCAATGGTCTGTGTCCAGGAATCTGAGCTCACTGCCTAAGCAAATGGTGCTGAGACTGCTTGGAAGTGGCTGTTTTGTGGGTTTTTCTGGTACGTGCTCTAGATGTAATGCTGTTAAATGCTGAATTATTAAAGAAGCTGTTGTTTGACTCCTTTCAACTAACTTCAGGGGGATGTTCTCAGCAGTCTGTTTTTCTTCCTCAAAGATCCTAGTGAAGGCCATGCTAAGAAAACGCTCCTTTGGAAATCCATTTGAAGTTCAGACCAGACGGGAGGAGAGGTCCATGTCTGCTCCAGGGAACCTGCTGATGTATGTATATGCAGCCTTGCCTGGCTCTGCCGTGTGTGCAGTGTAAAAGTGCACAGAAGAGACAAGGGAAGCCATTTACAAATATTTTCCCTATCATTTAAGGACAATACTCACTTTTGCCTAAAATATTGAGGCTGAATTCTGCTTCAAGTCTTCCAGGGTTAAAATACAATGCAGTAAAACAAGCTTGAAGGCTCCTTATAGATGGAGTTATTTCTCTAAGGTGGTTTTGGCCTAAACGCACTTAAGGTACTAAGCTTGGCCTGTTTTTTAAGCTGTTAGTTAGTATGCTGTGATCAAAGATCCACTTGAGATAGGTGGACAAAAATAAGGGTATCTATTGGGTGCTTTAATCTTCTTTCCTTTTCCTGGATAATAAAAAGGTATCAGATGAACAGCTTTTGAGTTTTATAAGCTAGAAATGAAATGATGTGGTTTGTCTGGTGTCCAAGTCTGGGTGTCTGAACTGGCAGGCACCATGAAGTTGTATAGGCAGAGAGCAGAGAACACTTGGACATGACTTTTTCACTTGAGAAGAAAAAGGAGCCTGCTGAATGGCTCACTCTTCAGTATTTAGAGGAGGAAACAGTTAATCTTTTAGCTGAATTTTCCCTGATTTCTTCCTGATCTCCTTATTACGTGTAAACAGCAAGCTAGGCTCTGGTTTTGGAAACGTTATGTGCAGAAATTGTATGGGCAGAAGTCTTTGTAATATGAGGAGGTCTTTTGTGTTTGCAGTAGCTTTTGTTTCTTTAGAGGATGCCAGTAAGGCATTAGTGATCTGAAGGAATTTTTAAATTAGTACTGGCAGGGGGAAAGGCTACTTTAGCTCTGCTTAGACCTGGAAGACTCAGTCCTCTCCACACTTCTGTGTATTACTTTGTTTAATAGCACAGAACAGTTATAAAAAAGGCAGCTGTTGGAATGGCAGGCACATTCACCAGGGAGTCAGAGGGGAATTAAAATGAAAAAACTCTTTTGCAATGCCTGCCTCTCCCATGCACACCTACAAGCTGTGTGTGAGAGCTGCCGTCTGCCACTTCAACCCCTGGGGTCACTGGGGCTGAGTGTCCTGGCAGCACAGACACGAGGCAGGCAGTCACCTCTGGCTCTGCCTTTCATACAGAACCCCCCAGAAGTTGCAGTGGTTCATCAAGCCTTGCAGATCCTGCAGACCACGGCCAGGTTCAGCCCTGTTGTTTTATAGTATCTGCAGAAGACACACTGATCACTACTTAGTTTTTCCAGTTGCAGTATACAGAGGCTTTTTTTTTTTTAAGCCAGCTGTTCATTGTTCAAAGCTAAGTTCTGGGTTTCTGTTCGTATTTGCCATATTTCTTCTGCTTGCTCTAGATTTCTCCTAATTGAGTCAGCACTGGTTTCACTACATTTTATTATGCTCATTTATTGCAACTACTACCTATCAAATTAATTGCTGTGTTTTGACAGACCCAATTTACTTTCCCATTATGGCTGCTACTGCTATTGATGACACGTGGCTGTATGGGGAATCAGTCTCTATTTAGGCAGCCTGCCCTGCTCTGAGAGAGCTGTCACTGTCCTTAGGGCCTTTCTGTGCATGTAGGGTGGAACTGAGCAAGCCAGGAGGGAAATGTGGCTGACAGCTGAGCCAAGTCTCACACCAGGAATAGCTTCTCCCAAAGTGGCACAGAGGTACCTGCTCTGTGAGGGCCTTGTGCTGAGAAAGTCCTGGCACTTGCTGCCATGGGGCTGCTCAAAAATACACTGCAGAGATCGCTAAGGCCAGCTATGTTTTTAGCATCACCTTTAACAAGGTAACAGTTACAGACTGGGTTTACATTTGCCTGGCATTTCTACTTAAAATACTGCCTTGGTCTCTGCTGGTGTTCAGCATCAGTTTCTTCAGTCAGGAAGATTTCGGATAGGTAGCGTAGATTCTGTCGGAACAGAGCCAAACCCAACCAATAGCCATATTAATTCTCATTCTAAAGAGAGTTGTTTGTCTCGTGGAAGAGCTGTGTCCCATGGTGCAGGTAGGTGTTCTCACAATCTGACTAAATCACCAAATGTGGCGTGGGATTTTCTTCTGACAAAGACTCGCCATCAGGAGGATCCTGTACTGACAGACCCCGTGCTCACGTGCCTCTGCCTGCACTGAGCTATCAGTGCATCACCCATGGTACATGCTGCTAACTCTGTGACCATGGCAGGACATTAACCCTCCCCCTCAAAATGCCAGAGAGGCCCAGGTAAGTGCTTATGGCTGTCAGCAGTGTGCTGGAAGCAGCCAGGGGCTTTTGGCAGAGGTAGGAGCTGAAGTGGGTTTGTGTCAGTGCTAGCAGTGCTCATCCTCATCTCTCCTTTGGGCTGCAAGTAGGCTTAACTGATGCTCTGTCCACCATTTCATTCTGCTTGCTAGGCTTGTTAGGTGCAGAAATACAAGCTTGTTTGCCTGCTGTCACTGTCTTCATGATCACTTTCTTCCTTTGTCTCGTTGTTTTGCTCTCAGGGACAGATTCCTCTTAAACACATCTATATATTTGCATCCATCTTTAAGGTAATTTGGTGTTTATATTTCCCCCAGGTGCTGTAGAAATGTCTCCCCCCTCAGCCTGTGTGACTTGTGCAGTAGTGACAGCATTCTGCTCCATCCTCCCTTCCTATAGGAGCAATTTTACTGCAGTAATTCTCTGTATGTGTGACACTAATGTTTATATATACTTTTCCATTGCTACCATTCATCATTCTTTTGTGTTTCCTTCTGAGAGGAAGGGATGAAAGAAGCCTTGCTCATGAGGCATGGTCTTTTTTCATTCAAGACTTGTTTCAGAAGTGAAGGCACAGCACAGCTGTGGTCCTTTGCATCTGACATGGCTTGAAGAAGCAGCCTCCAGCTAGAGGAACCTAAAATGTCCTGAGGAGCTGGTCAGGCCCAGAAGGAAGTCCACAGTCCTCAGTTAACCTAAGGTTCACACACAGCCTCCCTCGGGTCAGCAGCGGTGCTTGCGGTTCATAGAAAACCACTTCCAAGTGATGGAAGGGGCCCTCTTTTGCTTATGGTATTCTGTAAACAAGCAGAAATCCAAACTTCCCTGCATCTCTTCTCCCTCACAGCTTGCCTGTGTTCTTGGAAGAGAGGAATAGGACATCAGCAGCCCAAATGAGGGCAGAACTTTGGTGTTTAACAGTTGACTCAGTGGGCGCTGGGAAGGTGTGAAGCATTTCCCAGGAGTGTGCATGCTCTCATTCAGCTCCCTGCAGGTTTTCCCACTCCTTCGCTGTTCCGTACCGCAGATGTTTAGGCTGCAGGTGCTGTGAGGCTCTTGATGGACACACAAGCCCATATAAATACTAAGAGGCTGTGATATTTTTGTGGTTGCTCTGGTTAACAGCAGTGCAATCTGGATAATAGTACAGTTTGGGCTTTACTTACACATGGTTTAAGAATGCAGCAGGAATAGTCTTATTTCTTTAAAAGAGACATTTAGTGGAGACTCACGTTCAGCCTCAGGCCTCACACATGAGCCCTGGCTCCCATGCAGAGCATGAACTCCTCGATCTCTGCTGCCATGCATACAGACTGAGTTTAGTGAACATTCATAGCACTGTGCGGACATCGTGTCAGCTTGTTTTGTGCTGCACCCCTCCTAAGGCAAAAGCTGCTTGGGGTGGCAGTGAGCATTGGGTGCAGGGCAGGCAGGGAGCCATGCTGTGCTGAGCAGGGAGCTCAGGGTGGTGCAGTGTTTAAGGAGGGGGACGATAAGCAGTGAAGAAGGGGCTGCTTTTGGACTCCTTGTAAACAGTCCATGCTCAGAGTTCAGGGTCAGGTTTGTCACAGGCTGTCACAGATGCAGAATTTTGATGATTTCTTTGTTTATTTTTATTTTGGAGGGTGAAGCTGAGTGGGCAGCACTGAAAAATGTCACAGGGCTATCCAGGGAAGTGTAAAACTGCAATGTCACATAGCACTGCAGTGCACTGAGCTGGGATATCCCTAGCCTGTCTACATGGTACCAGCACAGCAGGCTGGTTTGTTGCTATTCTCTCTTACTGTTAACACTATTGACCCAGGTTGCCTGTTGGAAAAAACACAGCTTGCTTGATTTTTATTTTTATTTTATTTTATTTTTTGCATACTTACCTCTAATCTCTCTGTTTCTGTGCTGTTCATGTAGAAAACAAGGGAGCAGAGAAGGAGGCAGGGACTCAGAGCTGCCTGATGTGTGTGAAGATGAAGCTACATCCTGAAGCCACGTGGCTGTTGCAGGCTGGTTGCTCACGTGCTGCTGCTGCTGTACCCATCGTGGTGTTTGGCACACATCTGCTCACATCGCAAAGTCCAGGGCCTGCAAAGCAAAAAGCAAAACGGACCAACCTAGCAAACTGAAAAGGAGGAAAAGAGCAGCAATAAAGAAACGAGCGAGCCTCAGCTGGCAGAGGGCTGGCTTGGCCTCTTGGGCAGCTGTGTTCCTCATGCGAGGTGTCCGTGTGCTCCTGTGTGTGCCTTGCTCTCCACTTGTGCTTCACGTGTGAGCTTTGTAGTTGGGTGTCTTGACCAATGAATGTTTTTCTTTGCAATGCAACAAACCAAATGTTGTCTCGTGGGTCGTTCACCCTGGAGACCTTTTTCTTGCTTTTTTTTTCATCCTCTGTTTCAAAGATCAGGAAAAAAAACCGACATCAAAGCGAGGTCTTTTATCAGAGAGCAACTCTTACTGCACTCATAAAGCATTCTGTGTACCAGGACACAGTCCTGTTCAGTTGGTGATAACATTTCTATGGATAGCAGTTACAGAAGGCCGAGATCTTCCTTTTGGTGTTTACACTGTCACTCTCTATGCCTTTTTTTCCTTCCTCCTCTTAACCCTTAGTGTAAACCCTGCCAGCATTGATAGCTTTATTCATGGCAGTGTTGTAAACTATAACAACTGCATGATATTTCCTGTATGTGCAATGAGCCTTTGGATGCCACAGGGCTGAACCACCAGGACACACCGTTACACGTGAAGGCTTAGTGCACAGGAGACATCTGCTGATGAACTCTTCCCAAGGAGCTGTGATTTCATTCCATCACCTGCTCCCAGTCCTGTGCACATGGGTGTCATTATGAAGTCTAAAAAGAAGTGACAGGTTTGGCATTTATCTCATTTAAGGGTGATGACCTTTCACACACATCTCTTAGCTCCTTTAAAATGTGTGCCTGATGCTTTTCAACTCCGATTTCCTGGTAAATGGCCCAAAATGGGAGAGCTCTTAAGGATGGGAAACATTATGGAAGGGTTTTAAAGCTAAGGAAGGTTACAGAACACAAATGGGATAAAAATGAAAACTTGATCTGTTGTTGCTTAAGACCATAGTTTTTAATTTTAAAGACTGTAATTTTATGCACGTGCTGATGCTGCTGATGGCAATCCATAGATTGCTTCCAAACTTGGGATTAGAAGCTTCATCTCTACGTTTGGCGACAGGTGAGAATCTGCAGATGCAGTCCTTTCATCGGCTGCTGCCTGCACAGGCTGTGTGTAACCAGGAATTTCGCTCTTGCACACCGAGAGTAAAAGCCAGTGACATCAATCCATCACAATGCATGCTGGTGTTTTCCTTTGAGCTTTAGGGGGGCTAAGCATGCCTCCAGAAAGTCGATGGACTGAATTCTTGTACTTAAAGGACACGATTCAGTTTGGTTCCTTACTGACTTTTTTAGGTTAACCATGAGGGCTTGGGGCTTGAGTCCCTCTGATTCTTTTGTGCCAGGGGATATGCATACAAGGATTATTAATAGCAACTGGTATACTAATTTTCCCGTTCTGTTCACTGTAGATTAGTTTGGTTCCTAATGATTTTGTAGCTTGGCTTTGCTTCCAGTGCCTTCTGCTTGCCAGTCCCTGCCTGCCACCTCTTCACCCTCCCCTCCGCTCATCTCCAGCTGCCTTGCAGTGCTGGTGGGAAGCCCAGAGGCAGTCTGCAGCCTGGGCTGTGCCCCGCGTCCTGCCTGTAAATACTGGCCACGGCTCGTGGCTTGGGGTGTATTCTTGGAGTTAAGGTATTTTGTCAAGGAGACCTTCCATTTTTAAATCAGGGAGCAGGATTATATCCTGTAAATGTTAACTGCTCTGGGGCTGTATTCTGCACTGCACGCAGGTGTTCTACCAAGCCTGCATTTGTCCCTCTGCATGCACCTGCAGTGCACTCAGCATCCCCCGAGGGCTGTGACTGTGCTTCAGCCTAGCACTGTGATCCATCCCTGTGCAGTGGAGCACTTGAACGTGTGCCAGAGCCATGTTGACTCATGGTGAAGATTTAAACGCTGCAAAAGGGAAGGAAAACCAAGGTGGAACCTTAGCGAGTCCCAGAGCACGCTGGGGCTCTGCAAACGCAGAAGGACGTGTTGGGACAAACTGCACAGAGGGGTGGTTGTGCGTGGAATGCCTGCACACAGCTGGCCACATTTGGGGCAAATGAGTCTTCAGTGGGTCAGAGTATGAGGGCACCATCATCAGGTCCTGCTGAGCAGCCCCAGGGGAAAGGCAGCAACAGTGGGCAGAAAGAAGTCCCTAAGGCTGACCACAAAGACAGGGGGATAAGGAGAGTGGGAGAAGAGAGCAGCTGTAATCCTTGTCAGCGTGGGTCTGCTGAGGTCTGAGCAACGCTTGGGTGGTGCTCACAGAGCTGTAAGGCCACAAATGAGGTTTTATTTATTGTGCTTTTTAACAGATGGTAGGGGGGAGAAGTTTGCTAACGCAGGTGGTGGTTGGGTTACTCTAAAAATGTGCAGCTGGGGGAGTTAATGGGGGTGAGGTGGCTGGGAAGCTGCTCAACTAATGAGACCAAGCAAATAATTGCAGCTTTATCTCTAGTAACTGGTAACTAGAGCACTGCTGTAGTTTTGGAGAATTGAGGAGAGTGGGTATTAGTTGTGATTATCCCAAAGTCTGCTTTGGAAAATTGCCTTTTTTGGCAAGAGAAATCCTTCTGGAGCTGTTTCTGCAAGTCCAGGGAACAGAAAGTATCACAGAGCTGAGCTTTTGTCAGACCTTGTTTCTCCTGCCAGCTTTGTGGGTTTGCCCTTCTATCTCCAGAAACTGCACACGTCAAAAGGGTGGGAGCAGCACAGGCAGCAAGGACTGCTGGAGTTGATCCAGGAGCTCGGTGTGACTTCTGCAGGGATGCTTCGTTCACTGAGCTGCAGTGAAACTCTTGCTCGTTTTTACGTGTGTCAGGGCAGCTAGGAGCATTGCTGCTCATATTGTGAAGTAAGAGATTCAAGAGAGAATCTGCTCGCGACGAACGCCCCTGGCAAGGCAGCCCTTTTGTTCACTCTAGAAAGTCGTTAGCTGGATGTCCAAATATTTGTCTGTGTCCTCGCTGTGAGCACGGGATGGGATTGGGGGTGGCAGGGCTGCTGGCAGTGACTCTGGGCGCTGTGGGCACTCGTGGATGCTTTAGTGTTTCCTCTGCCCGAACCCCGCTGGCGGTGCTGCTCTGCTAACGGGTGCCTGACGGCTGTGCTGTGCAGAGGGCTCCTCCTGACGGCAGGCGGCTCTGGTCAGCCTTTAAGCTTGGGGATGGGCCCAGCACGGGAAGCTTTGATGGCAGTTTCTCATTTGGAGCATCTCTCTGATCTCCAGGGGGTCGTTTGTTCCTCTCGCTCCGTTAATAGCTGCAGCTCTGCAGTTTGGGGGGCAGTGAATCACAGGACAGGATCACTGAGGTTGGGAAAGATCTCCAAGGTCATCCAGTTCACCTACCACCAATATTCCCCACCAAACCGCATCCCTCAGTACCACAGCTAAATGTTTCTTGAACACCTCCAGGGACGGTGCCTCCCCACCTCCCTGCACAGCCCATTCCAGAGGAGAAATTATTCCTGCTATCCAACCTGAATCTCCCCCGGTGTAACCTGTGGCTGTTCCTCCTGCTGGCAGCTCTATGCTGATACACGCCAGGATGCTGTTGGCCTTCTTGGCCACCTGAGCATGCTGTGCTAAGTAAAAATCCTCATTTAGTATCTCCTGGCTGGTATGAAGGAATGCTACAGTGTGTGCCTGATATATTGGCAGGAAAACATTGCTGTGAATGCCACGCTTGCAAATAGATGAGCTCTGCAGCTATTTAATGACACGTCACAGCAGATCTACGTAGACAACAACTCACAGCACTTAAGAAGCTGCCTCAGCCAGCCATGTGTGTGCTGTCCCTGCTCTTGCACAGTGATTTCCAGTGGTGCAGCTCCAGGAATCGGGTGTTCCTTCACTGTTCTCACAGTCACATTGCTGCCTGCTTGTGCTGCTGTTCTGCAGTGAGATGGACCTGGCCTGGGAGAGGGAAGGCTCTGCCTGCGGGTTGTGTCTGAACGAGGGAGGGATGTGCAGAGGATGGAGGGCTGCAGAGCTGTGGAGCCCTGCCAAGAGCAGGAGCATGCTGTTGTCTGGGCTCTGGGGACAGGAGGCATCAAAACCTGATGTGTACGTGTAACTTAGTTTGGGTTCTCAAATTCTCCCCCTTACCAGGGCTGAGCAAAGCAGTGAAAGGGATTTCTTTGCTGGCCCCGTAAAAGACCACATGCTGAGCAGCACGCTGGGTGCTCTGAAAAACCATCAGTTCAAGAAAGAAAAGAAAAGCTATGACTTTTCAGGATATAATTCTGATCCTGCGTGCCGTAACCTTGCTGCTGTTAGCTGATTTCCACCTGTTGTTAGTGTTTAAGTCTCTTGTTCTGCTCGGTGTGAAGTATGACTGTGTGTGCTCTGACTCCAGCATGATGTATGTGCACTCAGTACAGTAATGGCACGTGGCCGTTACCCTGTAAATATGTACCATGAATAGAGAGGCTATTTTTTGCATGCTTTTGTACTCTAGAACCAAAAAGAAAATGACAATAAAGTCCACAGAAACGAAGCGTGGTGTGAATGTGGCTCCTGACACAGTCCCTGTGCCGGGGGACGGCCGTGCCTCCGCTCGAAGGGTTTCCTCACTGCCTCTGAAGGCTGTGGATGGGGACGTAGCTGGCAGTAATGGGGTGGTGCAGGGCTTGAAGGCCGCTCCCCCTCATTTTCCCTTAAATGGATTCTGTTTCCAAACGGATTTCTCCAGCAGCAAATTAGAATTTCATGCCTATTATAACGTTTATTCAGAGCTGACTTCTACTCTAACGCCGTTCCAAGCAGTAATTATTACAAATTAAGGTGGCATGAGGGAATAATAATAATAACGTGTTTCAGCAGGAGGGTGACAGGCAGCGAGCAGCAGGATTTCCTCTGCAGGGAAGCGAGAGGTGAATTTCCTGGAATATAACAGAGCAGGAAGAAGCCCTTTTCTTTCATAAAGGAATTTCCAGAGATATCCTGAAATGAAGGAGCAACTGCCAGGAGCCACCAGGCGTTCTTTGCTCGGCTGAATCAGATGTTGCACCGCTAATGCAATCTGAATGCACATTCTTTGTGCCCCATTTATTTTAATGCTTCTGGGAGGGCACGGAGCCGCCATCGCCAGCAGCATCCCAGCAGCCGGCCATCCCTGTGCCTGTGGCTCTCTTTGTTCCGGCAGGAGCGACCTCTCAGGAACAGAGATTCTGTTTTTCAGCCAAAACAGACCATTTCCTGATACTTCCCCCCCCCTTCTTTTTTCCTAGAGTCCAACATTAGACAGCGATTTCCTTCCTCTCAGGAGTGGCACTGAGTGCTGCAGCTCACACACGTCAGCACACAGCCGAGGCGCTGCTTCACTGAGCTGCTCCTACGCCCCATCTCCACAAGCTCTAGAAGAATGAACTGCTAAACCTGCTTTATGCTTTTGATGCATCTTTTATTGCAGCAGTGGCTAACATTTTTCAAGCATCCACGCTCGTTAAGTACCAATTACTAATTACTACTTCAAGAAAATCAGCCTGTACAGGAGAGTTATAACCTGAGAGCAGTGCAGAGGTGCACACAGACAGTAATCTGTTTAGAATGAAGTACAGATAAAAAAGCTTAATTAAGTGACTTCAAATGACTCAATCACACCAGTCAGCCTCGCAGCATTCAGGCAGCAATGTCTGATAAGCATTAATAAAATAAGCTTCACTGGTCAGTAGGAAAAAAAGACACCGCACAATAAAAATAAATCAACATAAACTGAAGTAGGAGAAAGTGGCTGAGTTGCTGATTTCCTCCTGTGGCTTCTGCGTCAGCTGGCTGAGCAGCACAGCACGCTCCTTGCTTAACCACGAGCCACCTCTTCTCCTCTGTATTCATATAACCTTACAGAAATGCTTTGTTTATGTCAAGGTTGTTCAAACTTAACGTTAAGGCCAGGAAGGTGTCAGGTTATCCAACCAAGAACTCATTCCCAAGCACTGCTGTCAGAGCTGTCTTTCCCCAGACAACCAAGGCTTTTCCTGTCCCTTATTCCCATATTTGCTAGGCTGGTGCAAAGTGACACAGCTCCACACAGCTCTCTCCAGCAGCACTCAGTGTGGATCCTGGCAGGACTGCGTGGGGAAGGAAGGCACCAGAGATGCTTTGGAAAGATAAACCCCATCATTTGAAGCGAGCCATCCCAATGTTCACTGTTGCCTTTTGGGGTTTTCCATTACAGTAACTGTTGCTGTTTCTTTATTTTTTTACTCTTCCCTTCAATGTCTCTCAGCACATCCTGCAGCTTCTTACAGTTCTGTGTCAGGAACACCAGGCTCTCTTTGACGTTGCTGGTGCCACGCTCCCTGCAGATGTTCTCCAGCCCGTCAAACCACTGCACAACCTTCTCCAGCTCAGCCTGCACGGCTCTCTGCTCCTCCAGCTCTGCACGCAGTGCCTGCCCGGCGGCCGCCTCGGCCCTGCACTGCTGCTGCAGCTGGGAGATCTCATCCTGCAGAGCACGGAACTCCTCCTGGCTGTAGGGGTACTGCTGGTGCACCCTGTCCTCGGGGAGCAGCACGTTGTCAGGGATGCTGAGCACCAGCTGCAGGAGCACCTCTTCCATCTTTCTGAAGAGCTGGTCGAAGCGGGCCTTCATGAAGTGCAGGAACTTCTCCGTGCTCCTGCGGATCTCGAAGCGGCTGATCTGGACGCCCGGCAGCGCCTCGAGTTTCTTCAGGATGACGCTCTCCACCACCACCATCATCTCGAAGAGGTAATCCTGGAATGCCAGGTAGATGCGCAGCATGCACGTCTGCGGGGTGAACCCGAAGAACTGCGTCTCGTAGGCCATGGGGTGGACCGACATGGCGGCGGGAGGGCGGCCCGGGGGGCGGCGAAGGGAGGGTGGTCGGGGCCTGGAAGTGCGCGGGGAGCCGGAGGGGAGCCGGAGGGGAGCCGGTTCACCTCCTCGCGCCCTTACCACGGAAACTGGGACGGGAAGGAACTGCTCCGCCACCGCCCGCCCGCCCGCCCGCTCCCCTCAGACGGCCCGATCTACTCAGGTCGAGCTTCCCGCTTCGTTCGAACTACCTCAGAACGGCAGCCAATCAGCGACCAGAAGGTGGCGGCGAGGATGGAGGCTCCGACCAATCACCGAGCGCTCCAGCTCACGGGGGCGGGGAGCTTGTGGAAAAGGAGAGAGGCCGCGCTCTTCGCTCGGCCAATGAGGATGCAGCGTGGCTGCGCGAGCTGCGCGGGCTGCGCGTGGCTCGGCTGCCGATTGGCGGAGGGGCGGGAGATGTGCGCGCATGCGCGAAGAGGAGGCGGAAGCGGAAGCAGCGCGGGGGCGCTAACATGGCGTACCAGACCTTCCGGCAGGAGTACCTGCAGGTGCCGCCGGTGACGCGGGCCTACACCACAGCCTGCGTCCTCACCACCGCCGCTGTGGTGAGATGGGAAGCGGGGCCGGGGCCGCGGGGGGTTCCGTCAGCGAGGTGGTCCCGTCAGCGAGGTGGTCCCGTCCCTTGTCCTCTCTTACGGGCGGCTCCGGGCGGGCAGCGCCTCAGGGCCTCCGGGGGCTGGGAGGAACCGAACCCGCGAACGGCAGTGGGCGGCCGAGCCGTGACAAGGCCTTGTGCTGAAGATGTGCGCGCTGACTGCCGCGGTTCGGCTCCGCGCAGCACGGTGCTGATGGCTTGTTTGTGTTTGTGTTTGTGCAGCTCCTGCTCGGTGCATTGATTCGTTGTTCTGTTCTTTTCCAGCAATTAGAACTAATTACACCCTTCCAGCTGTATTTCAACCCCGAATTAATATTTAAACACTTTCAAGTAAGTAGCTCCTGATGTGTGAGAGGTTTTAAAGTAATCTGGTGAGCATGTAAGTCTTCCTGAAGTGCAGTGCTGTAGGGGGCTGTAACTCCTCACACGGAGGAGATGAGTGCCTCTGAGCCCTGCTTTTACATTCACTGACTGTAAGGGAGGTTTCTGTTACTTTGTTATTTTCTTTTCTGTGTAGCAATAAATTGTCACATCTAAATGCCTTGCATTTGTGTCATTTCCAGGTATGGCGGTTAATCACCAACTACTTATTCTTTGGACCAGTCGGCTTTAATTTTTTATTTAACATGATCTTTTTGTATCCTTCATGACTTTTGTTTTTTCCCTCCTTGGAAAGCAGAACTCCATAATGGCTCTGTGTGCAAGCAGGTTTAATTCTGCTCTGTGCCAAAGTTACCAAGAGTTTAGTAATGCTAGGTTAGCTGATGGACTGGGCATCAACAGGATCTCTGTAACATATCAAGCACTCTGCCATTTATTTCTGTGCTGTCATGAATCTGTTGTACAACTCAGGTCCTTCAGCTGAAATCCAGTTCTGAAATCCAAGGGAAAATTCCTAGTAATATTTCTGTCCTGGAATTGGCCACTCTGCTGAGGCACGCAGGATGAGGCAGTTAATGAACTAAACTGATACACAATCTTAAATCATATAAATGCAATCTTTTCCTATGGGATCTTTGTCTAAACTCATTTGTTGTCCAGTTTCCCTGACCTGTGACTTCAGATACCGTTACTGCCGGATGCTTGAAGAAGGCTCTTTTCGAGGTCGGACGGCAGATTTTGTATTTATGTTCCTTTTTGGAGGACTCTTAATGACCGTATCCTTTCTGTTTTTATTCCAACATACTGTAGTCAAGCAAAAGATAAGTGAAAGAGAACTCAAAATTTGCTGTTCATTTCTCTTAATTCTTAGATGAGAACATTTTTCTTGTAGCACGAGAAGCAGTGGTATTTTTAAGTAGCTTTCAGTGCTTTGGACTGTCACTTCTATCAGACATTAGGTTGATCTTTCACTCTTTTTGCTGCTTGACAGAATTATGGCAGTAGAATGGGGGACTGCTCAGGTGCGTAATCATGCCTAGGTTATCTAATTAATGCTTTTGCTTCAGTGGTTTCATGATGAGTTTTATTTTTAAGTGTTTATTCACGCTCTGGATACACTGCATCCTGCCACAGGCGTTGACTTTGATTGACCATAAACGTGGTTTACCTGAACATGGGAAAGAAGGAAGAATTGCTTGGAAAACGTGGAATTATAGATCAAGCTATCAAATTCTTCTCATGCTTGACCTCAAACTATTATTTGGTGAATTTCTTTAACTACCCATTGGAGATCTTTGGCCTGTTTGTCAACTTGGTTTTCTTGGGTCAGGCGTTCACAATAATGCTCGTGTACATCTGGAGCCGCAGGAATCCCTACGTCCGTAT